GCTAGGTAATTTTAGAAAAAAGGTTTAACTACCTGCACTTACATTGTTCATCTGTGTAAGGGGGTAAGAATGCCTGTCTTATACACGTGTTGTCAATGTTAAATAACTATTAGCTATAAAGTATCTGGCATCCAATAATCACTCCACAAACATCAGTCTCTTTCTCTTCTTCAGTTCCCAAAAGGAGAGTTTTGAAAGCTGGCAAAATTTGGGGGTTGGATCTATCAGATCTATCAAGGGATCATTTTAACTTTTAATCTTGCCTCAGGTTTTCTGCTCTGAGAGGTAAGATTAACACTGCTAACGAAGACCATACAATTTACAAAATGCATGTTAAGTCATGCAGCCCACCACACCAGGAAGACACAAGAAACAGCAAGTGGCTGTTGGACACATTTCCACCATGTGGTCCCCACTGCCTAGCACAGGGCCTGGCACATTATATGACCCCTAAATATTTGAGCAAGGAAGGAGGGAATGATTAGAGCAGGAGGGAAGGAAGGAAGAGGAAAAAAGAAGAAGTGGAAGGCAAGGTAATTGGAAGTTGCTTCTACCATAGAGCTCCATGAATGGGGATCTGGGCAGGCACAGAGTAAAGAAAACAATGGGATATTGCCTTCCTATACAGCTGTTAGCACCATGGGCCATAAGAGTCACAAAAGTCTCCACTGACTCCTTCCACTGAACAAGGAGGGAGGAAACAAACAGACTGAGAAAACACACCTTTTTCAGAACATGATACTGGGACAAAATGAATGTCATTTTTGTCTTTAGTAGGAACGATGACCAAGAAAACATCATGAAGTATGGGGGAGGATCTATGTGGCAAGATATAGGGACATTAACTCACCACGTGTGACACATCTCAGGCCAGTAGCTTCATAGGCTCCAGCTGAGTTTTCCAGCTGTGAAGTGTGGGTGTTGGCTCACACCAGTGCCCCCCCCCCATTGGCTGGCCATTGGACTCAGGGAGTGTCTCAAGGTTGCCATGCCCACACTACAGCCCAGACATTAGAACCTGTGGCAGTAGGGCCCAGGCATCATTAGTGTCAAAGCCCCCCAGGTGATACCAAATATACTGCTATGCTGGAAAATGACAGGTCCAGGTGACCTCTAAACTTCCATCAACCAAAAAGTGTCCTCAGGTGAACAGCAAGAGCGTCACTTGGGGACTTTTTGGTAATCAAGACTCTTGGGCCTCAGACATATAGGCAGAATCTGCATTTTAGCAAGGTGCCCAGGTCACAGGCACTGGCATTAAGTTTGAAAACACTGACCTAGGCACTCTTAAACCTGGCATTTTATTTAGGTGCTATTTTAATAATTTTTGGATCTCAGTGCCGGTACATCATCCATGCTAAAAGTTGTATGTGCATCAGAAAGCACAAAAATATCCCAGCCACCTGTCCCACACAGGGGACTGAACAGAGATAGATTGAAAAAAATGTAGCACTGTACAAGGCCCAGATGATTTCATGAGATGCTGATCAAAGATTGCTTTTCCTTTGTAGAATGGAGCAGAGCCCCCTAAAGAGGAGTTAGTTGCCAGGTTCTGCTTCAAAGTCAGCGGCACCTCTGTTGGTTATTAAAAACACCTGCCTCCAGGTGGCAATTTGGATCTGACGTCTCACCTGGCCATGCATTGTTCCCAGGTTCTTTATCCCTCGTGCAACCTCCCAGCTCCTTTGTCCACAGCACCCCCAACCCTAAAAATAATAGGGGTTTGGCTGAGGAGTGCGTGACCTCACCCAGTTACTTATGACATGCGTTATCTCCTTCAGCCTACTGAGGAGGCTTTGGCTCTGAAAAACAAAACCAGAAACAGCATCAAACTGCTGAAATTGAAGCTAGAGAGAGACTGATAAGAATTAATGCAAGATGCCCTTTTAATCTAACTCAGGATACTAAGAAAGCAGGGTAAACACTTTAGGCTAACCAAACTCAGGGCTTTAATAAATAATGGTTTAGCTAAAGGTAAAAGTGGTTTGTAACTGAACATTTAGGAAGACCCTGACAGTGTTCACAGCCCACCTGCAGATGAACACTAAATCAGAGTAATTGTCTATACTGTAAGGCACCCTGGGCTGATTTGTGCTCATTCAGTAAAGGTCCTCTCCCCAAAATATTTCTCTATTATGCTAATGCCCTTAACTGTGCTCAATTAGTAAGAGTCCCCTCCCCTGGTTCCTGGAATGTTTCTATTGTGTCAAGACTAGCATAGTCTGTCAATATTTGCTTTGTACTTCTCACTTCTAATTCTGTATAGATGAGACTCCTTCCTGATGCAGGGTGGTTGCTTAAGAGGAATTATTCCTGCAACAGTCCACTGGCATGAAAATCCAGCAGTCTGCTGGTGTAAAAATTAAATGCCGCCTTCTTATCTCCCCAGTGCAAAGAGTTTTCCCTTTGGCTTGGTTTGGCTTGGGAAATTTCCTGCAACAAACTCACCCACTCTGCCCTCAGCACAGGAGGCAGAGGCCTAAGATCAGCACCCTGGGAGAAACCATCAGGTGATGATGGAGTAGAGAGGGAGTATAAATACCCCAGCTCCCTCACTCTGGGAGAGATCATTGGGAGATGCGTGTTCTGTGCTCGCTTGGAGTTCCAGCTGCTTACAGTCACTTTATATATTCCTGACACCGTCTTCTTCCCAGTTCATCCCTCACTCCCCTCCCAGGGACCTCTGTACCTCCAGAATGAATGCTTCCTGGCCTCTGTGTCTGCTTGTTTGAAAACTCACACCAAGATAAATTTTACATTTTATTTTCTTTAAGGTATGTGGAGATATGCAGTTATATTCTTGCCTCTCAACTTTAATATTTCCAGGAAATAACGCAAGGAAGAGTAAAAAGGGTTTTAATAAGAATTTTGAAGAGATCTTACTGCATATTCTTGAGATTCCTTTAACACGTAAAGCTGCTAAGGAATAAGAACAAAATTTTTTATCTAACAGCAGTGGAAAAAACCCTAGTTTCCAAGCCTGATTCTATGCTCCATCGTATGATCTCAGGCAAGCCAGTGACTCTCAGTCCTCTGACATTTCCAAACTGGAAAAGTGTCTTTGTGAGGTGTGGTAAAATGCGCAGTGAATCTTGCTACCCAGGGCCATTCCACCGAAAGGCAGGCTGGGAAAAACACGATGGTGGGTCCTCATCTGCCTCATTCACCAGATCTAGCACTGAGAAACTTCTGACTCTTCCCCAAAGTCAAAATAACCATGAATGGTAAATGTTTTGAATGGATTCAGGACTTCAAGGAAGGCACAACAGCACAACTGAAAAAACTCAGGAAAGAGAACTTCCAGAGCTGCTTTAGAAAGTGCAAGAGGCCAGCCCAGCTCAATCCAGCCTGGTGCCTGGAAGGATGAAGCTCACATACAAACAGCACAGGTTAGAGAAGTGCCACTTTGAGAGTGGTTGATCCTGCAGGAACACCAGGACCGGGTTCTGGTGATAGCAGGAAAGGCTTCCAACATTCCACTAGGGGACCTGAACAAAAAAGATATACCTGGTGCTTTGTGACCTCACAGTGTTAGTTCTACTACTTGATTCATAAGCGAATTCATCTCTGAGCTGAGGATGCCTGGTTTTTCTTTGTCAACAATGTCATTCCACCCAGCATGGCTTCCATAGATTAGCTCCACCAGGAACACCATGAAGATTTCTTTCTAAGGGGCTGGAGGTTTAGCTCAGTGGCATAAGCTCCTGTCTTGCAAGCAGGCAGTCGTGAGTTCGATCCCTGATACTGATAAAAAGGAAAAAGGCCAAAAAAAGAAAGATTTCTTTCTACGCAGTGCCTAGAGTGACAGAAGTGTCTACAGTCCGTGAAGCGGCTGCCCCTGAGGCTGGAGACCTATGGTTCACAGAGAGAACTGTGGCCCTTCCCTGATTTCTGCCACCTGCAGGCTCTAACGCACCCTCCCTTTTGCATGACCTGTACTTGTTAAAGTTTGAGGCCTTCTCTCCAGCCCCTCTCTGCTGGAGGTAAGGTCAAGGGCATGGCCTTTTGCACCTGTCATTTGCCCTCTTTCTTCCCATCTCTGTGCCGCCTTTCACACTCTGCTTTAGACTTCATGACTGTCAGTCCATCACACCCAGTGATTGTTTTGGTTTCTGTCTCTTTCTAATGGGGAGGCAGAGCCCCATCCTCCTTCCTTTCACTACTACTTTTTTGAGGTTAGTGGGAGGGACTGAAATTGTGGGGGATGGTAGGAAGCACATCAATAAAGAGGAAACCCTCCAAAATGAATTTAAAAAGAAAAAGACAAGAATGATGAAATACCTATTTTTGAAGCAAACGAGTATATCCTGATGGGACTCAATGTTAATGTGTTCTTTTCTGTTTTTTGTTTTTTGTTTTTTTTTTGTTTTTTTTTTTTTTTTTGTATCAGGAAAGGAATTCAGGACCTCACACTTTACTGTAATTTTTTGGTGGGTCGAAACTCGAACTCAGGAACTTGCACTTGCCAGACATGTGCTGTGCCACTAACCTATGTCCCCGGCCCTGTAATTTTTTTTAAATGACACATTTCACCGTGTTTTACTCATCACATCAAAACACCCATTTCTGCCATCGGTTTCCTCACTGCTATTATATTACCATCTCACTTAGAGTCCCCTGTAAGGAAGTGGGAGAGATCATTTGTCAAGTGACAGGGTTGTGCCGGATTTGTGACCATCCAACTCCAGCATCCCATGAGATTCGCAGTCTGTCAGAGTATGAAACCCTAACTCAGAGAGAGATAATACAACCAGCTGTGTTGAACCTGTGCCCTTGGTTCTGCTTTGATTTCTCAACTACATCTTTAATCCCTAGAGCTCGGGACTCATCCAAAGGTGTCCCATACCCGAAATACGCGGCTATAGGTTGTGCTTTGAAACAGGACCGTTTCTGGGTGCACAGGCAGAGGCGGCGCGGGTCGGGCTGGATGGAGGCGGGTCCCAACCAGATGTGCACTGCCCGGGGGCCCCGCCCTCCCCGCCCTTCCCGCCCTCCCTTTCTTGCTCCAGGCTGCTTCCCTGTGGAGGAGCCAACGCACCTCGCCGGCGCCCCTAGCCTCTCGCAGCGGTTGGGGCTGGGAGCACGCTGCAGGCTGAGGACAAGCTGAGCCCCCGAGCAGCCGAGGAGAGAGGAGGTGGCATCCAGGGTCCAGCCTCCAGACAAGCACCTTCCCGGGGGGCATAGGAGGAGGAGGAAGGTGACGCTCAGACTGAACATGCAGCCGCCCTGGGGTCTCGCATTTCCGCTGCTGCTCCCCTGGGTGGCAGGTGGATTAGGAAACGCGGCCAGGTGAGTTTCTGGCTGGCCATCGACCTAGCCTCAACTCTCTCTTTTGAGCCACTTCTCTTTGACCCCTGTCCTCGTGGACACTCTGCGGACACCCTGTGTGCATGTATACCTACGCGCGCCACACTGGGATGTGCGCAGGGTGCCAGCCGCCTCCGCCCTCACTCGCCTTGTCCTCTCCGCTCCCCTTTGACCGAGATTTGCATCGTGTGTGTCTGCTCGCACTGTGGCCCACCTGGCTGCGTCACTCGCCAAGGTGCCAAAAGGGACCGAGGCTCTGCGCACAGTCTGGGGCAGTGGTGGTGCAGTGCAGGCTTGGTGGTCTGAGACCCCTCTCTCTGCAGGGGCCGCTGTGTGCGTGAGTGGCCCTTTGGATTCTGTGTACCATTTGCTGGTTGCCACTGTATCCCAAGGGGACCAACTGGTTTTGAGTCGCTGGCTTTGAGGGGGAAGGAGGGACTGAAACCATGGTCTATACGAGGTTCCTGTGCTAAGCGGCTGCTATGCTGCTCCTGGCCGGCTCCTTCTGCTTCGGGTGGTTGAACTGGAAAGAAAGGACCATAGTTGCCACACAACAACAATTTTCAGTCTTGCTATGACAATACAGAGTCTGAAGCCACTTCTTAACACAGAGAAGCTTTTTGAGCCCTGAAACTTATCTCTATATCTCTGCCAAGTCGCTTAGTAAAGACATGTGGCCACAGTACTTGCTGTAGACCAAGCATGGTTGGAAGCACTTTACAGCTATGACCCACCTAAAGACCTGCACTATGCTATGTGGAGTGCACTAGTACTGTCACCCCTATGTTGCAGAGGAGAAAACCGAGGCACAGAGAGGCTGAGTAATTTGGCCAAAGAGGCACAGCCAGGAAGTGATGGAGCTGGGAGGCAAACCCAGGCACTGCTATCCAGCGTGCTTGCTCTTTCCCCAGCGCAGCAAGGCAGTCTTTGGGAAAGAGGCACAGGAAAAGATTTCCTGGGCCCTGGGCTGTGGCAGATTCTTTCACCTTCCATGTCTGCTACAGTGGGTTTCTCCACAGCAGCACTGTTGACTTTTTGGGGCTACATCATTATATGCTGGGGTGCGTGTGAGGGGCTCTCCTGTGCACTCACTGTAGGAAATTTAGCGGCACCCCTGGCCTCTTCCCACTAGATGCCCACCCAGAACAACCCTGATGGCTCCTCTACCTCTTTCCTCAAGTTGCAACAAAGAAAAGAGGTCTCTGGATATCACCCAATAGGGCTACAGAGAAGGCTGAACTTTCAGTGCTGGTTCCTGGGGAGGGCAGGAGAGCCTTGTTTGGGCTCAGACTTTTTAAAGGGAAGCCTGCCTGAGTTTGTTTGACTTACAGGAAAAAGCCTTTCATCAGAGTCAGCTATGGTATTGATTTTGAAATTCAAACAGAATGAGCCTCAAGCCAGATCTTCAGAATGTCTGATCAGAAGTCTCAATTTCCTTCCCATGATAAAAATGTAAGGGGATGCAATTTGCTTATAATCACATTTTCCTTGGATGCTGGCAGTTCTTATCTGGCTAGAAAGCGCACTTTAGAAAAGTCTGAGTGCAGTTTGGAGATGAGATTAAGAGTTCTTTAGCAGAGGACAAGCTGACCTCCCGGAGCCTCACTTTCAAAGTGCCACCAAATTAAATTAAAAGCCAAAAAGCTCCCCCAGTAAACCGAAGGATATTAAACTGGAGAATCCATGTAAGGATTCTACAGTGCTCAAGATGTGAAACGTGGTTTCTTTACACAGGATTGGGTTCCTGACTTTATTATCTGCTCAACTCTCTTGGAAATCTCAAATGGCTGACTGTTCAGGAACTTCCCAGGACCATGGTTTAATTAACTCCAAATTCCACCTTCAGGGCAACACATTTGCAGAGAAGGGGGAAAGTGTGCAGAGTGGTTATTTTCTGAGAGTTTAGTCAACTCTGTAGTAAAAGCTGTGGCACATAGATTTCTAAAGTAAGCACCAACTGTTTCTAGTGACCTGGAAGATTATATGCCTCATAGTGCATAGTAGACAATTAACACCCATCAAATGCATAATTCATTAGCTGCCTGTGTTTGCCTCCTCTGAAACAGCACAATTTGCCGTCTCACACCTTTCATGCCCTCTAGGTATCAGAACTGTTTAGATACTCTGGAATTTTTGTGCCCACTATAGCAAGTGTGGTAGGCAGAAGTTGCAGGTAGCTACTGAGTTCCTGAAGTGTATCCAGCCCAAAATGAGGTGTGCTGTATGAATAAAATGCAGTGAAATTTCAAGATATGTGAATACATGAACAGGAACTATCTCACTAATCATTTTGTATCAATTACATGTTGATGTTGTAACACTGTGAATATACTCCATTGGATAAAATATGCTATGAAAATTAATTTCACCTGTTGCACATTTTTTTAAATGTGGTTGCTAGAAAATTTTATGTGCAGTATGTGTCGATTACATTTCCAGCACTGGTCTAAAGCATTTATTGATCTGAGCACCATTTCTAACACTCCAGGTCCCAACACCGGGGATCTGTTTGCCTTGGGTACCTAAGAGAAATATCTTACTAACTGCATTTCTTGCAAGTAAAGCTTAAAACTCCTACCTACTTAAAATGTTTTGCTGTTACACACATTTCTCTATGTTCCGGTAAAAATAATGTGAGTGGTGAGACAGTGTCTGGGTTAGTTACTGGGCCTGCTTACTGTAACCATACATTATGAGTTATGAGCAAAATACTTAATTTTTAAAATATTTAACTGTTTAATGTTACACATTGCCAATAAACCTCTTTAAATATTCTCCCTTGTTTTGAACACATTTTTTCTGTTCTTGTTGCCACTTTCTGAAACACTTCTGGAAGTCCTCTTTCATGACTATCTTTAGTTGTAGTGTTCTAGTTGCCTCGATGTCCTGAATCCATACAAAGTTTTCCCCTTTCATGATCATTTTGACTTTGGGAAGAGCCAAAAATCCCACAGTACCAGATCTGGTAAATAAAGTGGATGTGGGTATACTGGAATGTTTTTATTCTGTTGGATGGCACTCAGCAGCGGCATTCACTGTACTTTTTATCACACCTTGTAAAGACATTCATGAGAGAGGACTTCCAGAACTGTTGCAGAACATGACAGAACAGTGGGATAAGCATGTTCAAAGCCAGAGAGGGTATTCTGAGGTGGATTACTGGTGATGTGTCTTTTACTGTAATAAATTTTTAAACATTCACTGAAGTTTGTGATCGCACTTCATACATGGAGAACTAATTCTTCTTGGTGCCCGGCTAGGGAAATACCGCCATAACAATTTAACACAAATTTCATGGCTTATAACAACACAAACTGATAGTATTACGGTTCTGAAAATCAGATGTCCAAAATGAGTCTTGTGCAATTGAAATTAAGGCATTGGCAGGACTGGTTTCTGCTGGAGGCTGCAAGTAACAATCTAGTCCTTATTTTTTCCAATTTCTAGAACCTGTCAGCAATCCATAGCTTGTGACCACATTACTCTAATCTCTTCTTCCTTTGTCACCCTGTCTTCTCTCTTGCTCTTCCTTGTCTTTCTCCCCCTAAGAAGAACACTTGTGATCATATGAAGCCCATCATGATAATCCAGAATAATTTTCCCATCTCAGAATGCTACCTTGATTACATCTGCAAAGTCCCTTTTGCTATATAAAATAATATTCACACTTCCAAGGCATTTAGACTTAGATGTCTTTTGGGAGGAGGGGACATTATTTGGCCTTCTACAGGGACCGTGACCTATGAGTCCGTTGTTCTTGCTTTTATCAGCAAGTGTTTTATCTTTAAACATGGTATTAGTGATTTTTTACCTGTTATAATATTCATCTCTTAAAACCAAAATTCTTAAAACCAAAATTTGTAGGATTATATCTAAAAGTTGATACCCAAGTGTTTCTAGGAAATAGTCATCATGGATAATCTTTTTTTTTTTTGAACCAAGAATTGAACTCAGGACCTCATGCTTTCTAGGCAGGCGCCATGCCACTGAGCTATATCCCCAGTCCCTATCAGGGAACATCTAATCAATATATAAGTCAGCTGCAAGCAATCTTATTTCAATAATTAATTTCATTGACTTAGGAGGTGTTAAAGTCCTACATAAATAAATCATGGTGATGTAATCATTAGAATTAGAATAAGTATAGTATCTAACCTTCATAAATTGATTGACATTCAACAGATATTGAGACCCTACTATATGGTAGCTCTTTCAAAGTTATTTTAATAAATTCTCTCAGTGACCCTAGAAAATAGGTGTCCATTTGAAAGATAAAAGCACAGAAAAACCTTGAAAGAAGTATGGGATTTCTCTAGAATTATATTTAGTTGGTCTTCTGTTCTAAGACCAGTGATGTTCCAATATTCATTTATTTCCTCAAAATAACTAAATACTTTTTTTTTACAAAGCTGATTTTTTTTTATACTGAGGACTGAATTCATGGCCTTGTGTATGCCAGGCAGGCACTTGTGCTGCTGAGCTAAATCCCCAGCCTCTAAAGCTGATAGTTTTACAAAGTGCTTGCTCACACATTATTACCAGTGAGTCTGACCAGCCTGACTGTAGTCCAGCGTGATCAAGCACCACCTTCCCAATACCAACCACCTTCCTCTCTAAGCTTACATCCTTTCAAAAGCAGACATAGTTAATTTGAGAGGTGACCCTAGAAGTTTGGTAGGAAAGAAGGGATGCATGACAGAGAAGGGAAAGGTTATGAAAATAAATTACCAAGGAGATACAATCCTGCTGGAGGACTCCAGGGGACATTTGGTCATGAGCCTTGAACTTATCTCTCCTGAAGACAAGGAAGCTGGGGGTATTTATACTCCTACTCCTATCTGTCATTGACTGAAGGCATTGGGGGAGAGGCTTGTATATTTTCAACCCACCATTCACACAGACAAAGTGATACAACTCTTGGGTGTCAAGAGTGAGGCTGGCCATGTACTGCAATGTACCCATTAGTCACTGATCTGGTGAGA